TTTATCCGTGACTGCAATACTTTAGGCGGGATTCTGATCCCATATATATCCAGCTGCAGACCCGCAGCACCAGCAGTTTGAGATTTTTTGGGTTGTTGTGAAGACGTTTGAGTTTCAGTGTGTATATCATACTATGAGAGTTTAATCAAATGAAATAGTTCATATAGCAGTGTTGGATACAATTAACATCAGATATATTACAAAAATGTATGTCAAATGACAACAGTTGTGTTACTTTCGAATTTTAACAAAACCATAGAATAGAGAAGGAACATGGCACTGGCCAGAACTGAACCTGTATCTCTTGTGCTTTGACATGCTGGAAACATGTGACTGCTAGACCACACTTTGCATAAATGTTTGTTTATATGATAATCTAGTTCATATATAGTATTTTATTAAAAAAATACAAATAAATTCTAAAGCATAAAGTTTATAAAATCTAACAAGAGAAAGCACAATGAAGACTTAAATGATCTTCAGAACAAACCCTATACGGTCTATGAGCTGAAGAAACCACAGAAACAGTCTGAATGAATGAATGAAGAACTGTGATCATTATTACACAGAAAGTCTGGAGATACTCACCTCTGATATAAACAATACATTTCCTCTTGTATTTCTTGTTGATCAGTAACTTATAGGGTCCAGTGTGTTCAATTCTGGTGTTTGTGATGGTCAGAGATCCAGTCTTCTTGTCCAGCTTCAGTCTGTCTCTGAATATCCCATGAAGAACATCATCATATGTTGTGATCTCACTGGTCTCTCCTTTGATTTGCGCTATGAGAGAGTCTTCATTTCCAGACTGCCACTCTATCAGATCACCTGTCTGTATTTTAGTAACACCAGTGTTTAGTTTGACATCGTCTCCCTCCATCCCTGACACTGTCTCCGCTTCATGTCACGCAGCAGCACATAGAAACAGAAATGAGGAGATTACTAGTGAATGAACAGATGAACATTAGAAACACTGAGAAGATATTGTGTGGTTCTTCACATGTGCTTCTAATAATCAGTTCGTCATCTCTTTTTCTTAAATAGCTGTAACAATTTACAGTAATGTTAACATAGGAAAACACATAAATGTATGTAACTCAGATATTGTACATAAGAGGTGGAGATCTGTCTAAAAACCACGACACATATTACACCACTACATAAATCTGTCATTATTTGACATATTGACATATGACATATTGTCGTGACTATCACAAAGAGCAAAAAAAAGTGGAAGACACCAGAAATGCATCATAAAATTGCTCCATATGACTTGCACACCATGAGTCTTCTGAACACATACAACTACTTCAATTGCACATAAGTGGTTATTTAAGATATTACACTTTGCTGCAGCTTTCTAATCAAATTTTTTTCCTACACTTTCATATCACACAATAAAGCTATTTTTTTCTGTTGCTTCTGAAATACGTACGCATTTGGCGATAGTGAATCACACCAGCAGAACAACAACATCAATACCTGCTACAGCAGCTGAAGACAGATCTGATACTGTAATGATAAAGAGAGACAGTCATTAGTGTGAATGTGTGTCTAATCTAAAACAAACACTAGAAACATCAGCCCTATATAACCTGTAGATCTGTCAAGTATAATGATTCTGATACTTACAGCACATAAAAACAATAACAACTGTGGTGAAGCTTAAATTTTAAATTAGGGATTGAGAATATCCGCTGGAAGTAAACAGCGTATGCTGTTCTGTGTCTGCGTCACACGGATACGCTGGTTTCGTTCAGATCAAATCACAACAACGTAGGAAACTGATCCGGCGTCACAGAACAGCATACGTTACTGAGTTTTAAAGGGTTAGTGATGGAAAACTTGCAGGTCAATGGGCATCAGTGTTTAAGGTTGGTAAACACTTGTACAGGGATGCATATAATACTACCCGCCTGACATTGGCATGTGTTATTCAGGTGTCAAAGTTGTGCAGAGTTGAAGGAAGAAACCTCAAAGACAGTGCCAGAAGGATGCTGGACAGGTAAAGATTACAAATCTTGACACATTAATCAAAAATTGTGGCATCAATACTCAATAAGTTACAACGCAAATCAGAAATTTAAAAAAGAATTCCTTTACTGGTCATTTTGAAATGTCAAACTTTGTCTGCAATTGTTAACCACCCCAATCTGTATTATATTTTAGGGTTCTAAAAAAATTCAACATGAATTTTTAGGGTTCTAAAAATATTCAACATGAAGGGGGGTGGTCCGCTGCAGAAAGAGGCATTTGAAAAGACTGCACTGTTCTCGGTCATCAGAGGTATGTGTATAAAACACACAACATTTACCAGAGAGCTTCTCTCTTTTTTTAACACACTGAATGGTGATACACTATATATATCTCGTTTTTGTTTTTAGTTGGCATCCAAGCAAAAGAGAATGACTCCCTGTCACAATTAGTGTAATTCAAGTAAAAACTTATGTCAAAAAGCTTTTCTTGTGCTTTTTTTTTTTCTTATTTGGCAGATGCTGTGATGACCAACTTCCCGGCAGCAACAGAGTTGGGCTTGAGGAATGCAGTTGGGAAGCATTTTAAACAAGAAATAAAACCAATAATCAATAATTTCCTTTAAGTTCACTGTTGGTTGTTTTATTTTTTAAAAGTAAACCAACAAAAGGGTTAATCTTCTTTTTTATGTTGTCATTTATCCGTAATGTTTTAATGTTAAGTGTGATAACATGCTCTTGATTTGTATTAGATTTTTTTTCTTAAGTTATTTAAAATATTTTATCTTTTCATTTTTATATTTTTATTATCTTAGCTTGTTGAAAAATCTAGATATTTTTTTTATCATAATATCTATATTTAAGTGTATTGTATTTATACAATTTTATTTTGTCATTAATTATTTTGTATTTTTATCATTTTGTATTGTCTTAAGTTGTCCAAGTTGTTAAAAATTTTATTTTACTTAATAAAAGCTGTATATTTAATTTGTTTGGATGGATTGCCATTTTGTTGTCTATTAGATGTATATATGTAGGCATTCATTAGCTGTCTATTTGATGACTAGTCTGTTCTTGGGCTATGATTAGACGTCTTAAATTTTCACTGACAGCCCAAATTCAGCCTTGTTTTAGCCTAAACGTCTGGGCTGTGTTTAGACGGCTATTAGACATCTTTTAAACGCAAAATTGCTTGCTGGGTATATGCTCAAAAGTTGTTGCTTCTTCTGGAAACCTGTTTGCTTTAACTTCATATATCTGGTGTTAATATATTTATTATTTTAATGTGTTGTAGCCTGAAATATTTAGTGTGCATACACATTGTATCTCTGTGTGTTGGAGATTTGATAAAAAAAACAAAAAAACAACAACAACGAATTATTCCTGTTGTAGAAAACGTTGTGGCACCAAGATATAAGAAGGGGGGCCCTTGGGTTTGCTATAGCCCCAGGGCCCTATGTGTTCTTAATCCGGGCCTGCATACTGACGATGATTGACCTTAAAATGGTCTGCTTACTTTAACCTTTTGCTTTAATTATACTAGAACATTCATAACACTTTTTATGTTAAGAATTTACAGTATATGTATTCTGTAGGTACTCTGAAGATATTTTGTACATCAATTATAGAACATACAGTATACAACAACACACATTTTATCTTTTTATTATTTTTAATACTGTAACATCCACATTCAAATGTGTATTTACATTTTCATGCGTTTTGTGTTCAAACAGTTGTTAGGAAGCAAAAGCTGTTATCAGTGTGTGTCCACTGAATGATTAAACATTAAGATTAGTGGCATAATATCGTATGAAGCAGATGCTTTTGTCAAAATTACATACATATGGCAATAAAACAGTAGCAAAGGCACGGCACAATGTGGTATCATATCACTAAGTACTAGAGTTGAGCAAAAGCCTTTATCTTTTTTTACTATAAGTGCACTAAGGCTAACGTCAGTATAAATACTATAAATTCAGGTCACAGTTACAATTACAGATCAGATTAGAAGACAAAAACAATCATATTCAGATTAGACATTAAATGCAAAGTATGCATTACTTTGCATTAATTTCTACAATAAACATGTCAAATTCAGTCTAGTTGAGCAACACTGATTGTAGTTCTGGACGGGCAAAGATGTTTCTGAACTGTGTGTCTATTATATACAGTCTGATGAATTTCTACACATGACGAGGTGGTCATGTGATGTTGGCTTTAAAACACATTCTAATCAATGCTGAATATGAACATTTAACTGATAGTGGTGTTAATTATATAAAACAGCACACACTATGGATAGAGAAATACTGCTGTGGTAAAACATCACATAAAATGCTTATATGACACTTTCTGACACTGACTACAACCAAACTTGCTGTTACAAAGCTGTAAGAGTCAAACTGGTATTATGTTAATAGAGTAAGAGGTATGAAGTGTAACATTATTAAATGAATTATGAAATGTCTTTATCAACTTGTTTCCTTGTTTATCTAAAACCAAAGAAGCTTTTACTTGAGAGTTTAATAGCTCAAATTCATTTCTCACTTTCACTGTCTGGACTTATTCTAGAGGCACATAAAAGCAGAAACATGTTTTTTTTGTTGTTGTTGTAGCTGGAGCTCAGATCCTGATGTGACGGAGATGTTCATTCTGATCATCCTCGCTTTCATCATACATGTTTATTTCCACATCATCCACACTGTTCAACAAGGCATCTTTAAGAAAAGCTAGAAAAAAAAGAAGGAAAAAAAAGTGAAAACAGAGGAAGAAACACCACTAAACACCCTTAAAAGAAATACACACAGTTAGTAATTATTGCATGTTTAATAATCAGTGTTCAACCTCATGTTATTTCAAGCTTGCTTCTGTGAAACTCATAGGAAGATATCAAAAAGTAAAATGTTTCAAGGATTTTTTCACTTATTAACAGACAAAAACAATCATATAAAAATACAAATAATAAAATCCAATAATAATAACAACAATAATAATAATAATAATGAAAGTAAAATCCTCAGCCTGTATCATAAACCTTGACACAACTATTTGCCCCTCAGCCCATTCCATCTCATACAGTATAAGTGAGCCAATTGCTCAGTGAAAATAAATACTTATTTGAATACAAATCTTCCCTTAAATATGATCTCTTTTAAACTGGTTGGTAGATGTTCCATAACAGCCCCCCACCACATCTCTTCAAACCTGGCACTATCTCCCCTAACCACTGCAGTCTCGATACCAGAGTGAAAGACTAAAATGAATCCACTCAATTAGAATGCATTTTCTAGCGAGTAATACAAGCTTCTCACAGAGTAGAAACCGGCAATATATTTTGCTGGTAAACAAACAAACAAAAACGGTAAAATATCACCCATCTTCCATGACACCCCATCCCAGAAATTTGTAATGACTGGACAATGCCATCAAGGGTGTTTTTTTCTTCTTCTTCTTCATTTAATAAAGTCAACGGGGACCAAAAACAAGAAACATTCTTTGAAATATCTTATTTTGTGTTCCACAGATATGTCATACATGTTTGGAACTACATGAAGGACAGATTATTCATTTTTCAGTGATTATTATTTTAAGACTATTGCAACAAGCTTTGAATGTAATGCAACCATCAAATTGAAAGACGTGAGTAACTCACCCTTGATTGTAACTTTGAATCTCTTATTTTTAGTTCTTTCTCTGTTGATGATCTGTAGTGTATAATATCCACAGTTTGTGATTGTGATGTTCTTGATGGTCAGAGATCCAGTCTTATGATCCAGCTTCAGTCTTGTGAATCCATCAAGTTCAGAGCAGAGTTCTTTGTTTTTAGCTATAATCATGTCTTTAAATTTCCAGAGTATCAGATCATCTGGCTGTATTTCAGATTCATCAGTGTTTAGCGTGACAGATTCTCCCTCCGCCACTGGCTTCATCACTTCTCCATCTGTATCAAGGGCAATATAACAGTATTATTCAACAGAGAGCACTGGATCTGGTTACATAAACCTAACGAGACAGGCTACAGCATAAACTATAATATATAAACAGCATAAACATCATTGGAAAAGTCTGATTAGAAACTTAACTATTCAGAGAACTTATCAACACATCTAAACTCGTCAAAGTGCTAATCTAATTAATGATCATTCATGTTACACTGAAAGATGCGAGTTACTCACCAATGACAGTCACAATGAATCTCCAGTACTGGACCTGTGTGTTTCTGATCGTCTTTAGTTCATAAAGTCCAGAGTCTGCGGTGCTGGTATTTGTGATGGTCAGAGATCCAGTTTGATCATTCAGCTCCAGTCTGTCTCTAAATTTCTCCATCTCATACTTTACATCACTTTTAGCTATCAGCCTTCCTTCATGTCCAAATGTCCACACTATCAGATCAGCTTTCTTTATTTGAGTAAGATCAGGGTTTAGAGTGACAGGTTCTCCCTCCATCACTGACACGGACTTCTCTTTACTACTAAACACACCTGCAGACCAAACACAGAATGTCACTGTTAGTAAACATTTCACTGAGATTCCCCACTAAAGTCTTTGCTGGACACAATTCAAGTCCAAGTTTAACTGCTCGTGTTCAAGTTTATCACTCTAACTGCTCGTGTGTTTGGTAAAATCTTCAGTCATTTAAACTGATTCCTTAAAGCATTAACCTCTCGAACTGCTTTTTTTTTTTTTTTTTAAATCAGCATTTACATGCCATTCTCTATAGCACCATTTATAAAATGCATTACAGAAGACAAATGTGTGTCTTATATATGGAAAGAGATACAATAAAATAAAATCAGCAGAGTAAGAATAAATGAGACAGACTACATAGAAATACTGTATTACAAAGTTTTACATAAATACTGTCATAAGCAACAATCATCAGGCTCCAAGTCCATGTCTAGAGAACATGATCAGAACAGCCAAATACAAAAAAAAAAAAGATATTTATGCTGTGGATTCAGTTGCGTTGGTGGCAAATTTCAGCTCTCTTGATTGGGAGTTTGTTTTGAGGATATTCCTTTTCAATTTTAATAGCATCTTACATCAAATTTAGCATTCATTAGACTATTCTAATGCATGTTCATCTTCATTAGCTTTACTATACACAAATATGGTGCTGTCCACCACTGCTGAGAGCTGCACAGATGCAGTGATCACACTCTCAGACAGCTAAACTAATTAAGACCATTATTACACTGAAAGACTTACCATCGGGAACAACAGTGAACGTGAATGACTTGACGCTATTATTTAGCTTGTTGGTGATCTGTACAAAATAATCTCCACAGTCTGTGACATTGATGCTTGTGATAGCGATGGTGAGAATATCACTGCAATCCAAATTCAGTCTGTCTGTCAATCTCTTAGACGCAGTTATAAATTCATCCTTGTCCTGTTCACTGAATCTAGCTATAATTTCATATGGGTGTATTTTTGATCCAAACATTAAGAGCATCTCATCCTCTGAATGCATTTCAGTATCAATGCTTAATTGGAGAGTTTCTCCCTCCTTCACTGACACTTTCTTCATTTCATCCGGTTCTACGAACACACCTAAAAACAAACAAACAATCAGTTACTCAGATTAAACTAAAACTTTTAACTGAAACAATTACATCTTCACTAATAATTCTCATGAGAGTCCAATTGTATTTTCTACAGTCATTTGTATGGCAGCTTGCTCGATCATGCCTCCACACCAGATATATCAATTCCAGCTTAGACGCCAGATCTTGTCAGAAAATATCTGTTTTGTGTGGCAACAAAATAACTAGTCAGCAAAATTGTCTAATACCCAAAACCCATTAACAGCAATTCTTGTCTGGTACCCAAAACTGTTTTAACAGTCTTCTATCAGCCAAGAAGTTGAGTGAGTAAAGCCAGAGAAGAGCAGATACAGAAGATGAAGTGATGAAGATAAAAAATAAGCAGTTTTATTTATTGAATAGTCTTAGTTGCGTATGTTTAGTGCTCAGACTTCGTCTGACCAGTACAAATCAAGTGTTTCCACAAGCCATAGCAATGGAATCATGCTGCTTCACAACATCATCCTGTGACTATAAAAACCTTGAAATTAAGACATTCTCTGATCTCTTACTTGTAAAGACAAATAGCCCTTGAATCTTAATAATCATAAGACTAAACAAAAATAATATAAAAATATAAATGACTAATGAATGAAGTAGTCAATGAAATGAGTATATAAATGGTTTAAATAATTATCAATGATTATATGATTAAATGGAACAATACAATTATTAAATTATTCTGAAAAAAAGAAAGAAAGAAAGAAAGAAAGAAAAAAAGAAAGAAAAACACAACACGAACATATGGTTGCTGTCTTGAAGCAACACACACAGGTTGTTGTGAAGAATCCTTAGATCCTTCAAAACTAAAGCTCATATATTCTTGTATAAGCAGAAAGTCATACTCACTGCCATGACGTATCTGGATTTGATCCATGTACTCCTCCATATCTGTAAGAGAAGAAAGTAAGAAAAGACAAATCAAACATAAAAGGCACAATTAACAGAACAGACAACTGTGGAATGATATTAAACAAGTGCAGATCAGAATGTTTTACTAAATTTTCAAGAACATTTATGAAATGACACCAATCAGGTCTCTCCTCTGGGACTGAATTATTTGCTTTGGATTCCAGAAGTTATCCCATGTTTTCTTTCCTTTGAGAAAATAACATCCAAAACAGCTGGGACAAGTAGACTAATACTAATACTGACGACTAAGCTGTTGACTTACCAAAACACACGTAATTCATTTTAGAGTAGTGTATTATTAATATATTTTTTATATATTACATAATAAATATACTATACCATATACTACATTATATACTATTTACTATCATTTTCCATTTTATAAAAGCTTTTTTCATCCCACATATCCTGGTGTTTACATATGTAAAGTAAGAGAGACTATGAATTTGAAACAGAACTTAACTCAGAATTATGTTAAAGGGATAGTTCACTCAAAAATGAAAATTCTGTCATTATTTACTCACTCTCATGTCGTTACAAACCTGTAAAACCTTTGCTCATCTTCCGAACACAAATTAAGATATTTTCTGGTAATCTTGAAATGCACAGCAGAGACTGACGTGGAAGAAAATAAATTATTGAATAAAGTCGCTATTTGTTTTCTTTGTGCACAAAAAGTATTCTCGTAGCTTCATAAAATTACAGTTGAACACCTGATGGTACATGGACAATTTTAACAATGTCCTTGCTACGTTTCTGGGCCTTGAACGTGGTAGGATCCTTGCTGTCTATGGGAGGGTCAGAGAGCTCTCGGAATTCATCAAAAATATCTTAATTTGTGTTATGAAGATGAACGAAGGTCTTATGGGTTTTGAACAACGTGAGGGTGAGTAATTAATTGACAGAATTTTAATTTTTGGGTGAACTATCCCTTTAACCCAGAGTTTAGAATGACTTTGGGTTAAACATTGCAGTTATAAAACCATTTTCAAAAGCCATTTAGTATAAATGTTGTCTGGGAGAAAGGTTTAAGTAAAATATGATATCTGGTAATACTCCTTTAGAAGAAAACAAATGTCAGTCTAACAAGTTCCTTACATATTATTCTCCTGCACTAAATAAAATTTGGTGTAGTATGTTCTAATTGTGAAAAATGCTTTAATTTGTAGAGAAAATGTATTCAGTAAGAATCTGTATGACTCTAGAAACTTCATACAGCAAAGATAAAACCTGTTTCTGTCTTTCATCAGCTGTCATATTTGTCATACTGCTTGCCAGAAAAATGAAACATTAAGATAGACAATTAGTACAATGAAAGACTAGCAGTACTTACCCTCAGAAATAACACTGAATTTCCTGGAGCCGCAATTTGTTTTCACTTCATAAAGTCCAGTGTGTTCAGGTCTGATGTTCTTGATGGTCAGAGATCCAGTTTGATCTAGTTCCAGTCTGTCTTTAAATCTCCCACCAGCAACAGATCTACATTTCATCTGCTCCTCCTCTTTTATTAAAGAAGCTATGCACATTTCATTCCTAAACCACCACTCCATATCAGCCCCTCTCTCCAGTTGAAAATCAATCTTTAGAGTGACTTCATCGCTCTCCTTCACTGGCATCGTTGTCACTTCACCTGTGATGTGCATGGATAAATCATTATAATAAACAATGAAATTATCCATCAAGACATTAAAATGGTCAATTTTGATTTCACGGTGAGTTGAAGGTGCTAGATAATTATTATAATCATAATAATAAAATGATTTTATTATTGTGTTCGTTCGGTCATCAAGTGTTTAAAATGAATCTGATTGTTGTGAACTGCTGATCATTAAACCAGTGTATTCTGAAACCCTAAACCCAAACTACACTCTACTGAAACCAAATGAGGTCAACACACAGGAACAGATCTAGACGATATTCTCTGTTATCTGTAAATGACTGTTATTTTAGAATGAGTAAAACTTCTATAATTTAAAAGCAAAATGAAATAAATCTAAACAATATATATTATTACATTGACAGACATTTAAAACTACTTACCACAGACAGCAACTTTATATTTTCTGTATGAAGCAGTCCCTCCTTTGCTTTTGATCTGTAGTTGATAAAGTCCAGAGTCTGTTTTTCTGAGGTTTCTGATGATCAGAGATCCAGTCTGATGATTCAGCTGCAATCTGCCTCTGAATTTCTTATTATCATAGAAATAGGTCTTCTTGTTATTTTTACTCATTGTAGCAATAGGAGACTCTTCATCTTGTAACGTCCACAGCATCTGATCACCTTCTTGTATTTCAGTAACACCAGAGGGAAGGAAAGCAAAACCTCCCTCCTCAACTTCAACTGGCTCAGGTTTAACTGAAACAGTTTAAAGACAGAGATTAAACAAACGTAACCACATTCAATTGTGATCAGTGAGCTTATTTACTATATTTAAACAATAATAACAGAAACAATACATGAAGATTTTTCCATTAATCTTTTCATCATTTTTATGATGCCTGGAGCTCATTTCGCAACACAGTGGAAGATTATTAAAATGATGTTGTATTATTCAGCAGACAACACTATTAATTGTCTCACCTATAAGAAGGAAACAAAATTACAGAGCTATAACTCTTAAAATTACAGAGCTATAACTCTAAAAACAAAGTGCTGTGCACTGTTTTATTAAAGGAGTGCATGGTGAAACATTTAGCATAATTTGCATTTTAATATTTTGATAGGTGTGTTTTAAACCACATTAGTCTCATTAAACATTTACTGTATGGTGAGCATTGCAAATAAAAATAATTGGGAAAAAAGGAAAAAAGGAGAAAAAGAATACAGCATACACTTTCTGAGAAGGACTCATTGTAACAGTTTACTAACTGTCTTAAATAACTAAGTGTATTTAGGACAGTAAGCGGTCTATAAACAGTCATCAGTAGGCTCATTTGAGATGAGCAAAATCTGAGCAGAACTCTATAAGATGCATGCCAGTTAGAAATATGTTCCGAGTGCTTTTTTTGAAAAAAAAATACTCGGTTAAACTTTATTTCGATAGTCCACTTTAGACATTCTATTAACTATAAGTAACTTTGTAACTACATGTCAACTACATGTCAACTAATTCTCAGAGTAGACTGTTAGGGTAGGTTTAGGGTTAGTAGAATAAGTTGACAAAGAAAGTGTTAGAAGATATTAAGCAGACAGTCTACTAATACTCTACTAACTGCTAGCTGACATGTAGTTGCAAAGTTACTTACTGTTAATAGAATGTCTAAAGTGGACTATCGAAATAAAGTGTTACCAAAAACTCTTGTGATGGCAAGGCAGCAGTGACTAAATGTAAGATGGGAAACAACTTGAAAATACCACAGCTTAATGCTCATTGATTCACTTCATTAAAATAATTTACTTCCTTGATAAAAATCACTCCTGATATAATATTTCAAATATTATTTTACAGTGCATCACATTCTAACATTTCATCAAAGGATGTTCCCATTTACATTCAGAGATGTTATACCCTGAATATCCACTGATCCACTAAATAACATATTATTATCTTAGTACTGTGTGTTCCTAATTTAAATGTTTTTACGTGTTGGATTTTCATTGTTCAAAGGCCACATAGATAGCCTGAGAGTTTGTGACAACAAATGGCTAGCTGTGTTCCCGAGTAATACAATAAAGTAATTTTACAGTAGCAATTTTTACAGTATTAAGGACTGTAAAAAGAAGGACTAATGAAACGCCTTTGTCCGTGTTCACTCCGTCTCAAATCACGCTCATGGAAAGTGCTTGAGAAACAGTGTCTCTTCCGTGGCTCGGTACGCTTTCAACTTGTTTTTTTTGTCTCTAGCAAGAGACTGTATGACATTCACGTTACATGATTTGACAGATTTTTACGTAGAAAGGGCGACAGTGCACCGCATTAAAAGAAATGAACATTCATGTTTTCATAACCGCTGGCCAAATTAAAAAATAAGATTAAAATGTAATAATCTTTGAGAACAAAGGGGCCCCTGGTGTTTCAGGGGCCCCTACGCAGCTTGCGTACTTTGCGTATAAGGAGGATCTTGTATAAACAACAGGCCAAATACACACTGGAAAAGGAGATCAGAGTGGCAAATATCTTGCACATTGTCTATTTTGTATATTATTCTTTTTACTATCTGTGTCCTGTCTTGTCACTGTCATTCTGTCGCACTGTGGAGCTTCTGTCACTAAAACAAATTCCTCATATGTGTAAACAAACATACCTGGAAATGAAGCTCATTCTGATTCTGATTCTGATTATTACATTGACTGAAGCAACTCACCATTGACAGAAACAATGAATCTTTTGTATAAGGTTTCTCTGCCTCTTCTGATCTTCAGAGTGTAGAGTCCATTCTGTTCAGCTGTGATGCAACTGATGGTCAGTGAGCCTGTCTCCTGGTCCAGCACCAGCCGGTCTCTGAATCTCTCATCAGTCGCATTTAAATGCTCTCTGGTCTTTCTTCTGAACTTCTGAGCTATGAGAGTGTCTTTATCTCCAAACAGCCAATGTATATCATCATCCGTCTCTAATTCAGTATCAGGGTTTAAAGTGACAGATTCTCCTTCAGTTACTGACACTGACAGCAGCACATAGAAACAAAGAAATGAGGAGATTATTATTGATTTTGGAAATGAACATGTCATTCTCATTTAAGGACTAAGAGGATACTGTGCGATTCTTCATATGTGCTTCTAATAATCAATTCATCTTCTAGATGACTTTTACTAAAGATCTGCAACAATTTGCAATAATATTGCATGTGTTAACATTAATTAACTTGTTAATAAAATATTTTCCACTGAAAAATGAGGTTTTAGTCAAATCAACAAACTTGTTTTAAAACTGTTCATTCAGGTAAATATTAATATACATATTTTTCATCATCATATAACTAAATATAACATTCTGTTATTTACTCGCCCTCATTCGTCTAATGAATGAGCAGATTTTGAAGAATTTTCATGCAGCTCTTTTCCATGTAATGACAGCTTATAATGGCCTTCACAAAGTTGCCTCCACAAATAACATTAAAGACACCAGAAAATGAGTTCATCTGCTGTAAGTCTTCTGAACTCAGACAACAGCTTTATGTGCAGTTTAAGTGTTTGTCTGCTGAAACTCTTTGCTTTAGTTCTCAAATATTATCTTCCATACTCAAACACAGGTGCGAGTTCACCTATGAAACATTCAGTCAACTAATTCCCTCTTTTTCATGTTTGTAGCTCAAATAGCTTTTGTGTTGCATTTCAGACCTTTAGTGAATGGGAAGATGATCAGTCAATAATTACTCATATTTCTGTCTATTCACACACAAACCATCACTTGACCTGAGAAGACTTTGAATACAGTAAACGGATCACATGATACTTTTATGACAGATGACACTTAATAATACTTAAAATAGTTTGACAGACATGATCACTAAAAATTACTGTTGTACAGAAAAGAGCTCCATAATGTTTATCCAAATATCTTATTTTGTATTTGAAAGAAGAAATAAAGTCATACACGTTTGCAATGACATTAAGGTGGGTAAATTATGAATTTAAATTTTAGAATAAACTATTCATTCATAGGAATAATTAAACAACACTGAGTTTAGAGTTTCTGTATTAATAGTCTATGATGTTTAAATGAACAAAGTGAATGAAGCCATACATAATGATAAAAACACAAACACATGTCTGAGGTGCTATTAAAGACTCCAGATAAAAGTCAAAATGAAAGACCAAAGGACAGCAGGACTATGATTTTAGGCTAGTTTCTGCTAAATATCTCAACCTTCAATAGAAGAAGAACAAAACTACATAAACACAAACAGACATAATCAAAAACATCTTAAATTCAGCATTTCAAACAGACAGTATATTAATGTAATTCAGCTCAATACCAGACAATCACACACTTCATTAATTATTGTATCAATTACAAGCAGAACTTGTGGTTAACATAGAAATGTTGGCTGAAAAATCATTTTATACATTTAAATTTTACTTAACCACAATAAAGCTCGATGTTTTTTCTCTTGCTGTATCAACTGTAATACTTACATGTTTGGATTGGTAGATTAGAGGTCCTGGGACGACGGTAGTACATCACACCAGCAGCAGCTACAGCTGCAGCCACCAGCAGAACAACAACAACAATCCCTGCTACAGCACCTGGAGACACACCTGAATCTGGAACAGCTAAAGAGAGACAGTCATTAGTGTGAATGTGTGTCTGATCTATAACAAACACTAGAAATATCAGCACTATATAATCTAAATGTGTATTTGGTAAGTAGATCTTAATGTTAATGATTGTGATAATTACATATAAACATTAAAACAATGATGATTAAACTAATCAAATGTTAACATTGTCATTATAAGCCTGACAATAATCAGTATTTATTACAGATATATTCACAGGTATCAGCAATGTAAGAGAGAAACAGTTTGAGCTAATACAATTATTCACAGACAGCTGATAAACAATCATTACAATCAGTCTTGAGTTACTCACTGACAGTTACAGTGAATCTCCTGTATAAAGTCTGTTTGTTGCTGCTGATCTTCACTTTATAAATTCCAGAGTCTGTGGTTCTGGTTTTTGTGATGATCAGAGATCCAGTCTGATGGTCCAGTTTCAATCCGTCTCTGAATCTCTCATCATAATATAATGGTGAGCTCTTGGCCTCTATATCATGTTTAGCAATGAGTTTTTCTTCATCTCCAAACCTCCACAATATCAGCTCATTTCCTTGTAGTTGAGGAACATGAAGAGTGACAGGATCCCCCTCCTTCACTGACACGCTCTTCATTTCAGCTTCAGCCCCAGCAATAACAGATGGAGGCTCTACAAGAATCAGATTCACAGACAGAGATTCAACTTTAAACACTGTTCCTGGCACTAAAATATGAAGTTTTATGGTCAGTTACATATTATGGTTACTACACAAGGCATTTAGGAGTCATATATTAAGTTGTTTATGGTATTAATCTAATTTAAGTACTGTATTTAATTTTCTTTAAATGCATTCCTTTATTTAAATGTATTCATTATTTAACATACACATATATGCATATATATATATATATATATATATGAGGGGCCGTGCAAGCCATAATTCATTCTGGCACTCTCACACACTTACATTCTCCTTTCACATGCATACATTTCTACTCTCACAAACACATACATTCTCCTTTCACATACATATATTTTTGCTTTTACACACTTGCATTCTCCATTCGCATGCGCATTTCTACTCTCACACACATACATTCTATTTTCACATACATATTTATATATATATATATATATATAGAGAGAGAGAGAGAGAGAGAGAGAGAATGTACGTATGTCTGAAGAAAACGTGTATGTAAGAGAAGAATGTATGTATGTGTGAGAGAGAGTATAGTGGAAACGGAAGGAGTATAGTGGAATAATATAGTGTAGTATATGTATATAGTGTAGTATAGCGTATAAAATGTATGTATGTCTGAAGAAAATATGTGTATGTAAGAGAAGAATGTATGTATGTGTGAGAGAGAGTATAGTGGAAACGGAAGGAGTATAGTGGAATAATATAGTGTAGTATATGTATATAGTGTAGTATAGCGTATAATGGAAACGGAAGGCAGGTCAGGCACGATCAGGGTCATTGGGACAGGTTCTGACAAAATAAACAATTAATAAATGAAAAAATATAAAAGTAATAAAAACTAAATAAATTGGCAACAAGTATGGGAATCGGCTCATTTGATTGTAAAATAAAAAATAAAAAAAATCGGCCGGAATTGGAATCAGTCACGAAAAATCCTGATCAGTGCATCCTTAACTGGAATAGAGTTAGAC